GGATCTCTTCCAATCAGTAGGCCAGGTAGCTGTCTTCCAAATGTGTTAGCATAGATGAGCAAGCAGCTTCAGGGCTGCTTCAGTTTGTTGAAAATATTCAATTTATATCCCATCAATTCCTAGGGCCTTACTTTTATCAAACACCTTCAATGCAGCTTGGATGTCCAGCACCAATTGGTTCCTTCAGCACCATTGGTTCCTGATCACGTAATACCTCTTAGAGATGGTTGAACACTGACCATTTATTTTTGGTACAGTAACTCTGGGTATTCCTTCCAGCTTCTTTTAATGCTTTCTGCATTATTCAATATTTTGCCCACATAATCATTCAATACTGCAAGTCGAGGCTTGCATTGTTTTCTCCGGTTCCGTCAGCTTGAGAAATGCTGTGTGTGTTCTTTACTTTTAGTTTTCTAGCTCCAGGTCTTTGCACATTTCTTTATAACATCTGACTTTGTCTTCTGGAGGTGCCCTTTGAAATGTTCTGTTCAGCTCTTTAAACTCATTTCTTCCATTTGCTTTAGCATCTCTACGCTTCAGAATCTCTTCTGTTTCAGAATCTCTTCTGGCATCCATTTTGATCTTTTCCTTCTTTCTTGTCTTCTTAATGAGCCTTTGCTTTTTTTCCTATATAATGTTCTTGGTGTCATCCCACAACTTTTCTGGTCTTTGGGTCATTAGTGTCTAATGTATCAATTAGATCAAATCTGTTCTTGAGATGATCTCTAGATTAAGGGGGGATATGTTCAAGGAGCTCTGGTAGCGTAGTGCTTACGAATCAGGCTGCTAATCTAACAGTCAGCAGTTCGAAACTACCAGCTGTTCCGCAGGAGAAAGATGAGGCTTTCTGTTCCTGTAAAGATTTACAGCCTCAGAAACCCTGTTCAGGGTCGCTGAGTTACAATTGACTCCACAGAACATAACAACAGCAATGTTCAAGGTCAAATTTTGGCTCTCATAAATTTGTTTTAATTTTCTTTAGCTTCAGTCTGAACTTGCATATGAGCAATTGATGGTCTGTTCCACCGTCTGCCCCTGGCCTTTTTTTTGCTGATGACGTAGAGCTTTTCCACCATCTGTTCCCACGGATGTAGTCAATTTGACTTCTGTGTTTTCCATCTGCTTTTCCATGTATATGAAAACTTCTTAGATATTACCAAACACCTTGACAGAATGATTTGCTGAGTCTTGGGGCCTAGGACCACAGTCCTAGGGGACACCATGGTGAAATGGCATAACATAGTCCACAAAAATAAAGTTCTACATACTACTTCGTCAAGTAACAACTGGGGTCTTAAAAACTCATGAACAGACTCTCATGGTACAACTATTTGTCTCCCTGTCTAAAGAAAAGAAGATTGATGAAAACTGAAGACCCATGGAAACAATGAGCCCAATGGACTAATGATGCATCTATAGCATCTATAACTCTGAGACCAGAAGAACTAGATGGTACCTGGCTACCACTGATGACTGCTCTGTGAGAGATCACATTAGAAGGTTCTTGATGGAGACGGAGGAAATGAGGACTAAAACACAAAAACATAAAAAAAGACCAGATTTATAGGTCAGAGATTGAAGGAACTCCTTAGTTACTCTTCAGGTCTGAAACTGAACTCCTTCCCTTGGCTCAATTTTCAGCCAAACAACAGACAGGTCAGTAAGGGGAACAATGACACTAGTGAGGTACGTACATCTTACAATAATCAACCATCTGAGATAAAAAAAAGATACCAAGGACAGAGTTCAGAAAGGTCAGAAAGAGGAATATGATTGAAAAACAAAGGAAGGAAGAGGGATCATGTGGTACTACACTGAGGGGACTACAATCAATGAGATGAAATAAAATGTTTATAAACTGAATGTAAAATTGATGACTTGCTCAGTAAATTTTTATCCAATTAACAATAATTAGTAAAAAAAAAAAAAACAACTCATAAAACAGTACCTTTAGTGTAATCAACAACTGCTTCCAAAGCGGCTATCCTAATGTCCACAAAGTGGCCATATTCAGCATAAGACTTAAAAAGAGCTGGATCACTTGGCACATGCCCGTTCTTCTGAAGCACCCGTATGGCTCTCAAGCAACTAGGGAAAACAAGTCACTACATCACTGTTCATTTCCAGACACAGTTAGCTCCCAAAACCAGGGCACCATATAATAATGGAAGATAATCAAACTGCTTCATGACACAGGGGTCAAACCAGTGAGAATCACACATGACATCAACACACCATCTTCACCATCACAGCCAGCATTATCCTTGACTTACACCTTGACATTTGTCACAAAATAGAGGGATAACAGATTTTTCACTCTTGACTTAAATGCAAAATGTAATAATGAGATAGTAAGAAACAGGCATAGAGTTAAATATTTCTGTTCAAGTTTTCTGAACCAGTTTAGTTTCCTTAGCATTATACAGTAATTTGTGGTAATAAACTGAAAACTTGATATGATTTAAACCTTTCAGTTTTGTAATACTGAAAGCATTGTAATAATCATAAAACTTCAAAATTAATAATCTAGTCCTTTTAAAACAATTCTAAAAGTTGTTTGGAAACTCAAAGCTTCAAGTTCTTTTATGTGGCTTATAATTATAACAGGAGCTCTGGTAGCGTAGTGGTTACGAATCGGGCTGCCAACCTTAAGGTCAGCGGTTCGAAACTACCAGCCGCTCTGCGGGAGAAAGATGAGGCTTTCTACTCCCGTAAAGATTTACACCCTCGGAAACCCTGTACAGGGTCGCTATGGGTCGGAACCGACTCGATGGCACTTAACAACAACAACAACATAATTATAACAGAAAACTCATCAGAAAACAATTATTTAGCATATAACATAATCTAAACAAAGTATTTTTTCCAAAGGTTTTAGTATAGTTTACTCAAAATGAATACAAAAGGTTACACCTTGTTCAAAATGTTTGAATCAGTGGATAAATTTTCAGCACACTCCTAAATAACTAAACAGAATATTTTGATAGCTCTATACACAGAAGTTGACAACATCAAACTTGTATAATGTATCTGGAGTCCTGGTGTGGCACTGTAGAGTAAGTACTGAACCAGTCACTCCTTGGAAACCCTATGTAGGGTTGCTATGAGTTGGAACTGACTCGGCGACACTTTAACAGCAACAACAAATAATAAATCTAATGGGAAAGAATCCTGGTGTGGCACAATAAGATAAGCACTGGATTGCTGATGGCAAGGTTGGTGGTTCAAACCTACCAGTCAATCTTCGACAACAATATCCTGGGTATAAGTCACCCATTTAACATGACCACCCCAAAAGGATAGAAAATTAGACAGACAAAAATAATGAACCTCAATAATATCAGACAATTTGAGAAAATGTGTGATAACACAAAAACTATGCATACAATATAATTCCAAGTAATTAAAATTTTATATGATTATTGAGGGAAAAATGCTAGGGCATTCTCTAAAAGATTAACAACTGACAGATGTGAAAATCACAGATGATTTTAATCTCCTTTCATATTACTATGTTTTCCAAATTTCCCATAATGAGTATAAATTTATTTCAGTTATGAAAACAAGCAACTGTAAAGAAAAAGTAGAAGCTGCAACCCTACCTGACCGTGACAGTATGCCTGTAACTTGGAAGAAGTTTTTCCATATTTAAAAACCTGGTGATTTCTTCAAGAATGAGTCGCACATCCGGATTCAAGTTCTCCAAAGTCCGAAGCTCATTATTCACACTGACTGCAGGTGTAACAGAGTTGGCAAGAGCATCGATCATCTCTGCACGGTAATAGTTATCTGAAAACTAAGGGCAAGAATCCTTTAAGAGGTGATAAAATTCACACTTCTATTAAAAATTAATATGCATAAATGAAAAACAAAATTTATCTGAAAAAAGATAAGTTCTGTCAAGACATAACTATGTACATTTTAGAATCAAGACACTGGAAAACAGACTAAAAAATAACATTCACTGATCAGTGATACATGAATTTACTGAATGAATATTTACTATATTTAAGGAGCCCTGGCAGCATAATGGGTTGTGGGTGGAGCTGCTAAGTGGTCAGCAGTTGGAATCTACCAGCTACTCCTAGAGAGAAAGAGGGGGCTTTCTGCCCCCACAAAGATTTACAGCCTCGGAAACCCTATAGAGGGTTGCTAGATGTTGGAACCGAATGGAAGGCATACCAACACCAAGGTATTGTTATAGTTACTCAAAACAGATTCTGGAGAAGGAAAACCACAGTCCACAAATGCTGCTGAAAACCCTAGAGCTTCCAATCAGCTGTTTAGTGCTCTACTCTCATATATAAACATATAATTAAGGACCACCATATATTGAAAGCAAGTATCAAAATATAAGAGAGACCAGAATTTTCATGTCAGCTAGCAAGTCCACCCCTAGACACATGTCCAAAAGGCATGAAGTGGGGACTCACATAGCTACTCTACACCAATAATCATTGAAGCATTATTCACAATAGCCAAAGGATAGACCCCTCCCCAGCAAGTTTCCATCAACTAATGAATAAATAAAATGTGGTGCCATCTCCACACTGCCACAGCTAGGAATGGCTAGAAGAGCATGCCGACAAGCATCTGTTGGTGGTGATCAGGGATTGGGGGCAGGGAAAGGAGAGCAGCTGAGAGACTTTCAGATGAGGACGGTGATAGCACCCATGCAGTATGGTCACCGAAGGGCACGCTCATAAATGGTCAACCTGGCAATGTTTGTTCTCTATATAAATTTCACCACAATAAAATTTAAAACAAAACAAAGCAACTTGGAAAAAATAAGAATGCTGGGAAAAAGCAAGCAGAAATGAGATTTAAGAATTAATATTGTCTGAGAAACAATGATAACACTTTCAATAGTATATAACATTACTTATCAAAGAAAAAAGCAGAAAACAAGGATCAAAATTAAACTGGAAGATAAAAATGAAAATAAAAAATCTAAAAATGTCAACAAACCAATAGAGATGGAAAAATGGGAGAGAAAATATAAGAAAACTAGAAGGTTGTTTGTTATAAGAAAAAAGGATATCAGTAACAAGAGTTCTAGAAGAGAACTAGAGGAAATGGTGGAGAAACCATTTCTTAAAAGTTAATCCCAAAACCAAAAGACGTAAGATTTCAGACAAACAGTTCACCGACCAGCTAGCCCAATGTTGTTCTCAATTCACAAGGGAAAGTTCAGGACACTAAAATTCGGTGAAGTTTCAGGGCACTGAAGAAAAACATACGTTGCAACATATGTTTTCTATCTTGCAGACAGAAACCATATGTTGTAGACATAAAAGAACAAAAACAAAAAGGGCACCGGGCCTCTCTCAAGAGCACTGTCAAAGACAATAGAACAATGCCTTCAAGAAACTGAGGGGCCCCAAGATAATCCATAAAATTCAGACCAAAAATATCCCCTGAAGCTTCTCAAAACCAAACAATAATTTAGTTTCACTAGCAAAAAACGGCTGTCTTGAGCATTACGGTCTTTTAAGAACTACCTACATAGGATCAAAGTGACAACAGCAATTGGCAAGATTAGCTAGGCGCCGTAGGGAGCAGGGAGATTATGCTAACAGGGTAGGAACAAATCAGACAAGGAGGGAGAGTGTTGCACATGTCACTAAACTGTACATCTAGAAACAGTTGGTTTGGCGTATGTTTCGCTGTGTATATTCTCAACAACAAAATAAAATTATACTTTCCAACCTGTTGTTGTTGTTAAGTGCCATTTAGTTGGTTCTGACCCTTATTGACCCTGTATAAGGTTTCCAAAGGAGTTCTGGTAGCGTAGTGGTTACGAATTGGGCCACTAATCTCATGTTAGTAGTTCAAAACTACCAGCTGTTCCGCAAGAGAAAACTGAAGCTTTCTGCTGCCGTAAATATTTATAGCCTCGGAAAAACCCTGTACAGGGTTCACTATGAGTCGGAACCGACTCCACGGCACATAACAACAAAAAGGTTTCCAAGGAGTGACTAGTGAGTTTGAACTGCCGACCTTGTGGTTCAAATCGACTTTGCAGTCCAGCGCATTAACCCACAGTGCCATACTACAACCTATGTTGTTGTTGTTAGGTGCCATCAAGTTGGTACCAACTCATAGTGAACTTATTATGCACAGCAGAATGAAACACTGCCCGATCCTGGGCCAACCTTACTACTGTTGCCAAGCTTGAGTCCATCGATGCTGCCACTTGGCCAATCCATCTCATTGGGGGTCTTCCTCTTTTTCTCTAACTGTCCACCTTACCAAACATGACACCCTTCTCCAGAGATTAGTCCCTCCTGAAAATATGTCTGAAGTACGAGAGACGAAGTTTGGTCATCCTGGCCTCCAAGGAGCACGCTGGCTGCACTTCTTCCAAAACTGATCTATTGGTT